GTTTGGACAAAAGATCTCTAACCTGATCCTCCTCCACCAAGGGAGAGTCTTCCTTTCTCCAGCCTTCCTCTCTTGTCCCAATGGTCTGGAATTCCTGAGGACTGGCCTTAGCAGTGAAGACTGAAGCAAAGAAGGCATTCAGCAACCCTGCCTTCTCTGCATCCTTTGTTACCAGGGCACCCGCCCCATTCAGCAGCGGGCCCACGTTTTCCCTCGTCTTCCTTTTGCTCTTGATGTATTTGAAGAAGCCCTTCTTGTTGTCCTTGACATCCCTTGCCAGATTTAATTCCACATGGGCCCTAGCCTTCCTTGTCGCGTCCCTGCACACTCTGACCAACGTCCCTATCTTCCTCCCAAGTGGCCTGTCCCCTTTGCCACATTCTGTAGACTTCCTTCTTCTGCTGGAGTTTTGTCAGGAGTTCCTTGCTCATCCAGGCAGGTCTCCTGCCAGCTTTGCTCGACTTCTTACTCAGAGGGATGCAACTGCCTTGAGCTTGGAGGAGGTGATACTTGAATATTAACCAGCTCTCCTGGACCCCCCTCTTCCTTCTAGAGCCCTAATCCATGAGATTCCCCCAAGTAGGTCCCTCAAGAGGCCAAAGTTAGCTCTCCTGAAGTCCAGGGATGTGGTCCTACTTATTGCCCTGCTTCCTCCTCGTAGGATATTGAACTCTACCATCTCATGGTCACTGCAGCCAAGGCTGCCTCCAACCTTCACATCTCCCACTAGACCTTCTTTGTTTGTTAGTACAAGGTCCAGCAATGCACCTCTTCTTGTTGGCGTCTCCACCACCTGGGTCAAGAAATTATCATCAATGCTCTGCAGGAACCTCCTTGACTGTTTGTGCGTAGCTGTGCTGTCTTCCCAGCAGATGTCAGGGTGGTTGAAGTCTCCCATGAGAACTAGGGCCTGTGATCGTGAGGCTACTTCCAGCTGTCTGTAGAAGCTATTTCCACTATGCTAATTGCTGTAAAGCAATGTTATTGTAAAAACATGCTCTAACAGAGGCTACAGTTAATCGTCAAAATAAAATTTCCCTCCTTGTAAAAATATTTTATGTTTTTATAAATTCCAATAAGCATATATCTGCATCTTTTCCAAACAAAATATTTCAGAAATCTGAACCTACACTGAATTGCTGTGTCTACTTTCTCCTCACAGGTCAGTATCAAGAATTATCCTGTACTGAGATTTCAGAACACAAACTCAGAACAATATACAGAAGAAAGATTTTAATTGATAACACTATTTACAACTAAGTTCTTGAGTAGTGGCAGGTCCACTGTGGAAGCAGTTAGTATTCATTTAGGTGGAACCTGTAATTTTTACAGAGACTCTTGGACTTGGAAAGTGTGTACATGGTGTATGTTGTTAGCATGAGGTATATGACTCATATGAAAATTCACATACATCCTTACACAGCTTTGTCCAAACATATGTATACGGACAATGGAAATAAGACAGCACATAGTTGTATGTTATGTAATCACAAATATCTAAGGTATCACCTATGAACTACTGGTCAGACAGGGCGGATGATTAACTTTCTGAAGGGAATAAAATGTATGATTTAGTGAAGCGTACATCACTGATCTTTTTCTATAAATATTCAAAGTGTCACTTAAGTGTATCATTTTTCTCTGCTTCTGCCACCTATATTATTTAAAAAATGAGACAATTACGTCATCAGAAACTTTTCCGCCAGAACACATATTAAAATTATTCTTAAATATGTTATATCAGCAAAAATGAATTTGCAGATAAAACTAAAGCTATTCTATGTATGTATACTATTCTATGTATGTATTTGCAACTCCAGATACTGTAGTTTATATTATAGCTTTCAAACACCGATTAGTACAGCTGATTGATTGACATTTTGATATTACTGCTTGCATGCAAATAACCCACTCTGAACTATCCACGGGCTTTGCTTACACTAATATCAAAAGTAACAGTAATATCAAAGCATGAAATGCCTGTGCATATGCAGCAGTCAACTAGTACTTAATTCACACAAGAACCAAGGAAATCTCTGAAAATGAAAGGAAATTCAAAGAGCTAGAGAGGTTCCAAGTGGCCACGAATCAGCCAAAAGTTTCAGTCTACCTATTGCTCATTTTCTCACCTCAGCTGCTCCTCATAGACGTTGAGTTTCAAAGACTAGTTCAGATATGTGATAACTTGCTGACCAACAAGTTCAATGACTTCAGTCATACTTAGGTAAGCACAAAGGTACAGAATACCTGAATGACCTGCTTCTGCTCCTTCTGCTTTTGCTTTCTCCTCTTTCTCCCCTCCACCTTGACCCTTCAAAGCTGTGCATAACTCTGCAATAAGTCTGTGAGTCAGAACAGGATTTACTATCCCCACTGGATATGTTGGAAGATTGAAGCACAGACAGGCTGTGATTCACTCAAGAGTATCTAGTGAAGGATACAGCCACAATATCGCTTAAAATGTCATATTTATATACATAATTTAAGTATAAGCAATATAAGTTTATTCAGATAAAGGCTGCTCATTTTTAGCTCAACATATATTAGTATAATGTGTAATCTGCAGCATCTGTATAATCTGTAGTAATCTGTAGCATCTCATGTGAAAATAGATGTTTTTTAAATTATTGAAGAATACACTAGCTGTGTGAAAATAGATGCCTCTTTTAAATTATTGAAGAATACACTAGCTGTTCCAACACAGAAAAGAGAGCCATCTAACAGCTACATAGGGACTTACATGAAGAATACAAATACTGTGGCGTCTGCCCTGTTTCCTGCAGGCAGACTCAGCCAGGTCAGGCACCAGCCAGGTCAGGCACA